ACCTCTGCACTTCTTGTTAAGGAGACAATACATGTCCTTATAGATTAAGTCAGCTTTATTTGGCTGTCTTGCTGCTTGCAGCCAAATTCATCAGCTGCTGATACAGGCCTTGTTCCAGAGGGGTTATTGTTGGAATCCACATCCCCCCCCCCATTATCACCTTGAAGCTCCTAATCCATGGCCCCAGAGAAGGGCTAAGAGGCAGGCCTGTGGTGGAGCCGGGCAGAGGGCGGGCCACAGGCTTGAACCCCACAGGTGGCTGAGGACCGGGACTCACAGAAGGGAGAGGGACATGTGGGCAGCAGATATCTTGGGTCCCAAGGACAGGGGGTGGGGAGGGCAAGGAGGCAAATCCCCCATTAATCTGGCCAGGGTGAGTGTTGTTATTGTTATTATTATGAAGCATCTCAAGGCTCACACTCATTCTGGCTTGGCCAGGCCCCAGTAATGGCCCCATAAATCCCAGCCATAAAGAGTAATGGGGGGAGACAAATGAGATAATTAGAAATAAATCTCACCGAGGTCTCTATTCAGCAGCGTCCCTGGAACTGGCCAATCTTCCGAGCCATTAGCCGGGCCCCTAATTAATGCTGAGCTGCCCAGGGCCGTGGAGGCTCCGGGCATGGGAGGGACCCAGGCTGAGGGGCACCACTGCCCCCACAGCCTGCTGCGGGTGACCTTGGAAGGAGTTGAGGGACAGTGCCCGCAGACTGCCTGCTTGGCTTTTCTGTCTCCAGGGCCTTACGGACGCTTTGTCTGCACTGTCCGGCCTGTCTGCCTTGCTGTCTCGTCACCTCCTTTTCTTCATCTCATTCCATCTCCCATCTCCCTTCAATCTCTATTACTCTCTTATCAGACAGTCACTGTCTGCAGCGTTGGGTCATGGAAGGTCTGAGTTAGCGGAAAGTGTGGTGGCCACCTGCAACAACCCTCCATCATCTGTCTTCTCTGCCACCTGTCAACACGAGAGCAGGGACCCCATCTGCACCCCCATGCCCCAGAACAGTCCTTGGCACAGGGAACTCCCCCTCCACACTGCTGCAGTCCATTCCACTTGGAGCAGTGCTCACCATCACAGCGGTCTCTCGTGCCCAGAGCTCGGAGCCCTCTCCTTGGTCTTACCTCGGCCTGCTGGAGCCTGAGAATAAGTCTCATTCTCCTCCCAGGCTGGAGATAGTTGAAGGCAGTTGTCCAGGCTTCTCTTCTCCAGCCAAATGCCATGAGCTCCAGGGTTCCTGCCAGGTCTCCCCAACCCAGGCACCTCCTCTGGGCCAGCCCCGGTAGTCTGACCCCATAATGACTCCTGTTGTTTCAACCTTTCAGCCATTTCCCCCTTTTTTGGGTACAGCACCCCTACTGCTTTGAGGAGCTTCCCTTCACCGATTCCACAAACTTCCGGAGGGGCAGCCAAGTAACCCACTGTCCCTGGCCACAGACGCCTGGCCCATTATGACCCTCCATCCCTGATAAAGTGACTGGCCAGGGATAAGCCTTAGTGCCTTCCCTGGACCCTGCCCCTCCAGGTGGCAAAACTGAGAAATGCCAGGTATACACAGCTTGTGAACATGTCCCCTCCACCCCCACCCCCATCCCCACCTGTCTGCAGTAAGAAGGAATGAGGCTATAACCCAGAGAGAAGCACCCCAGAGATGGCAGGAATGGGGCATCGGGGCTGCTACAGGGTTAGGGAAAGGTAGTAAAAGCAGGTGAGAAGCAAGGAGGGCTGCGAGGGGGCCTTTCCTTTGGAGGAGGTGAGGGTGAGGGGGTGACAATAGAGGGCTGTGGCCACAGGTACCATCCCATGATAAGGATATCTCCTTATCATCCCATGAAAGTCGAAATGTGGAAAGGAGCATAAACACAGAGGTGACAAGGGGCCAAGTCTGTGATCTCTGTCCCCTCTGCTGTCCCCACGTGTGGCCTGAGGATCCATTCTCTGCTTCGTCCCCACCCCTCCTTGCAGGGCAACAGTCCCGAGGGCTTCCCTCTGCTTTCCCACTGCTCAGAAACAGGAAGTGTCTGCAGCAACTAGCCCGAGGTCCTAGGGGAGCAGCCCTCAGTCCCCCACTGCTGCCCTGTCTCCCCTGGGGAACTGGCAGAGGCCCCAGGGCATGACAGGCTGCAGGCAGTCCAGCTGCGGGCTGCTCAAAGGGGTCTGTCCTGGCAGCCCCGGAACCATGTGGGTGGCAGGGCCTGGAGCTCGGTTTGGCCAGCTCTAGGCATGAGCACAGGAAGTGGTAATGAAATGAGGCTGTGGACGGAGAGGGGCAGGCTGACCATCCCTCCCCTCACAAGCAGGCCCCTGACTCAGCTGCTTGCTCGGTCATGGGGTAAAATCTCTTGGGTTTGGTACAGAAGATCACACAGTGGTCATGGGCAGTCCTGGCCAAGGCGGCTTAACTTGGCCTTACCGTCTTCTCCTTCCACAAGTGTGATAATTAATGCCCGTCTTGGGTTAGACATGAGGGTGTCCCCTGAAGAAGTCTCCCGGACAAAAGAGACAGGTCTGCTGCCCTCTAGATTAAAGAAAGGCAGAGTGGCAGGCTATTTCCCAGGTCACTGTGTCCACCATTAGATTTCTAGTCTCACTGCTGTTCCATTGTATATAGAAGGAAACTGAGACCCAGAAAGTGAAAGGGACTTCCCTGAGACCCACAGCAGAACCAGGGCTGGAACTGACACCTGGCTCAGACCAGCTGGTTGGAAAGCAGATACTGGGAGCTTACAGGGAATGGCCACCGAGTGGAGGGGAAGCATCTAGAACAAGGGCTTGATCTGGATGGATATCTGGGCAGGGTTGGGTGAATGGGTGGCCTCTTAAGACAAATGCCATTTGCTTCCCAGCAGAGATGAGGGCCACCTGGGCGAGGTTGGGGATGGTGGGGAAGGCAGAGCCCGCGCTGGGGTGAGGGGGAGTGGACACAGGGCTCAGCAGCACAGCACAGGCTGCCCAGGGCTGGTGTTGGCTGCAGGCACTGAAATGTGAGGTGTGTTGAGTATATGTATGTGTATGTGTGTGTGTGTGTGTGGTGTGGTGTGGAGTGTGTGTGTGTGTGTGTGTGTGTGTGCATGTGCGCTGAGGGGAGGCGGGCGAAATCCTTCCCCTGTCTGGCCCCCACCCAGCTCAGCCTCTCGGGTTTCAGCCACTGTCCTAAAGAAAACAGCCACCGGGAGCCTGCAGCAGGAAATCACTATTTGGATTGCAGAGGCGCCTCTTCCTGCCATGGCCCCCACCAAGGGGAGAGGGCCAGGGAGGGGACTTTCCTGTCCACCTGGACCAGACCTGGGTGGGTCAGGAGCACCACTAACCCCCACCCAGGTCCTCTGTCCTCCCTAATGTCCCTCAGACTCCCCCCCCCCCCCCAGCCTTAGAGTTGGAGACCTGAGGTTGAGCCCTCCCACCCTTGTCTGTCCTCCTCAGGACCGAGAGCCACAGCAGTGAGAGAAGTGGATGCTCACCGAGGGCCATGGAAATGGACTGGAACACCTTCACGAAGGGCGACTGGGCAGTCCTGTCAAAGTCACAAACGCAATCCCGCTCTCAGGAACGTTCTAGAGCTCTTTCATGCAAAAGGACACATTCATGCTACCTTACTACAGAGAAAGAAATGGAAGGGACTCAGCGGGGCGCTGGGTAACTGGATTGTGGCTCCTCCCTCAGTGAAACTCCTGATAAGGAAGGTTCCCCAAGAAGAGTGGTTAAGTGATAAACACAGTGCAGGGCTGTTCTGTGTATAGGATTTTGGTATTTTTGTTTAAAAAAAAATACATGTAAGTGCTCGTATATTAGACTTTTGAACATTTTGTACCTTGGGCATGGAATAACTGCAAAAAATTGCGATAAATAAATGAACATTGGCGGGGGGGCTGTGAAGAGATGGGGCTTCTCTGGTGGCTTTGATCCTGACTATGTGACCCTGGGCGGGTGACTTCCTCTCTGTGTCCTGATTTTCCTATGTGGTCCAAGAGGTCAGAGAACCTTGATGTTGGCAAAGCGAGGCCTGTGTTCACGTGCATGAGTGGGCGGGGTGGGGCAGAGGGGTGTGACGGTGGGGAGAGTCCCTCTCACCACGTCATATTGCCTCCTCCTGTTGCAACTGCAGCCCACTGCCAAGGCCATGGGCTGCTGCTTCCTCATGACATTCCTTAAGAGTTCAGATTTCATCTGGCCCTTTTTCTGCGCTCTCTCCTTTCTTCCAGAACCCTCCAGACCACTGCAGACTTTGTTTGCCAATTTCCCATGAGGTCTCCACTTTTCAAGGCTTTCTTCAGCCATGTCTTCTCCTCAGGACAATCCAAGTCTAACCACAAGGTGTCCTCTCACTCACCCTGGACCTCCCTGGCTTGCTTTCAGGGGCAGGATGGGGTGGGAGGGGCTCAGTCCACTCCTTCTCCCCCCTTTCCCCCACCCCCAGCCCTGCAGTACTCAGGTCTGCCTCTCCCCCTGCACAGTAAGAGCCCTGGACACATGGCCTCTGAGACTCCTGCCAGTTTCTTCTTTCCCAAGTCCCCTGGCAGTTGGGGACAACTGAAGCCGGGCCACGTAACCACTACTCAAGCCATACCCACTTCCCAGTGCAGTCCAAGCGCAAGCCCAGGCTGTGCCAGGCCCAGGGTTGCCCCCACTCCAGGCATGGCTGTGCCACTGACATAGGCGCCACTGTGCGCCTTGGAGCCGTCACGGGAAGGGCTTCAAGAAGTTGAAGTTGGAGTCAGCAGGAGATTAATTAATCAAAACTCGAACACATCTGTTGTTAATTAATTCTATGCCTCGGATTAACTCTTTCCTTTCCGGGCTTCCCTTCCCTTTGGCAGGAAGAGGGAAATACTGGCGGCAAGCTGGCACCCCCTTTCCTTCCCTCCCTTAGCAGGGAGCATGAATGAGGAACGGGAGGGATCCCAGAGGGCATCCCTCTGGGTGCTTTGCAGGGGGGCTGAGGGGCGTGTTTGCCTTTTAGAGTCGTGGTCCATGGACATTACTCATGAGTCCTGAGGAAATCTGAAATGAACAAATATCTTTATGTACAGCAACAAATAGAACAGACCCTCCCTGCATGCCCTCGCTCTCCCCTTCCAGTCTTCTTTCTACCATTCCATTCCCACTCCCGCTCTGCCCCAGCTCCAAGCCCAGCCCTGCCAGCTCGGGTCACTGTATGGGTCAGGCCCCCACAAGAGCCCGGGAAAGGAGACCAGGGAGGGGCTTGGCTGAGGACCGGGTGGGGACGGGGTGTCTCTTTTCACATTTTGCTGTTCTCTAAGCCTGGGGCGGCAGCAGGAGGCGGCACCAGGAGCAGTGAGAGGTAGAGAAGCGCACAGCCCCGCCCATCCCTCCCCCGCCCCCACGTTCCTGCCGCCTCCCCCAATTTTCACAGTGTTCTGCAGCCCAGGCAGCTGGTTCAGGAGCGGTTCTGACCCTAGCCCTCCCCGACGAGAAGTCCTCGGTGCTGTCTGTCCCTTGTAACCAGCAGCAGAACGGGCTCTCTGCAGTGGGCCCAGCTTCTGTGACTGAGGCGGCCTCCGGAGCGCCCCGCCCCCCTTCTCACTGGGCCGGGATTCTGCAAAGGCACTGGGTGGGGGACGGAGGACCAGGGGAAGGGGCTGATGGAGCTTGGTGCGACGGCCCTGTGGGAATCTCGGCGGGTCAGGAGGAGAAGCAGAGCCCGCAGCACTCCATGCAGATCTCCAGGCAGTCAGCCGACTCGCAGCAGGCGTCCAGGATGCCACAGTCCAGGTCGCAGGGCAGGTCGCAGTCGGCACACTCGCCGGAGCCGCAGCAGCAGCAGCAGAGGCACGAGTCCTCGGAGCTGCAGGAGCCGCACGTGGCGCAGTCCAGGACAATGTTGCACAGCGTCAGGAACTCGCAGAACAGGCAGGACAGGATGCAGTGCACGCAGCAGTCTGAGGTGGGCGGGGCCGGGGGAGAGAGCAGGTGAGATAGGCCGGGGCTGGGGACCCAGCCACAGCGGTGGGGTCACTGAGTGCCCAGTGCTCGGCAGCAATTAAGCTCATACAGCCCACACACAGCTCCATGAAGTGGGGACTGTAAGAAGCCCCACCTAGGCAGAGAGAGTGACTTACACACACCTACCCGGTAAGTTGCAGAGTGAGGGTTCAGCCCAGGCAGTGGGGTCCTGAGGCCCTGCTCTTAACGACCCCCTGAGTCAATTATTTAACAAACACGGAGTGACAACATACATGTTCCAGGCACTGTTCTAAGTGCTGGGCATGAATGAAACTCATTTAAGCTTGCAACAACCCCACTCTACAGATGAAGGAACTGAGGCAGAGAAGTCACTTGAAAATATATCCAGAATCCTACCACTCTGCTAATCTCTGCAAGGGGGACTGCAACAGCCTCCTCACTGGCCTCACCACCAACAGTGTGACTTTCCCTCCCAGAATCTACACCCCTCACAGTGGGCCCATGAAAAACTTCCATGGGATTCTGCCCCTTCTGTGCTCAGAACCCTCCAGTGGCTTCCACCTCACAGGAGTAAAAGCTGAAGAGCTCACCATGGCCCCCACACCCACACGTGATCTGGTCCCCCTGGATCACAGCTGTTGCCACACTGGCTGTTCCTGGTCCTGCAGGCACTGCTTCCAACCCCCTACCTGGAATGCTCTTGCGCCACATAAACGCTCTGCTCTCTCCCTCCTCTCCCTCACTCCCCAAATGCCACCCTCTTTAATACTGCAACCTGCCCACCCCACTGCAGCACCCCCATCCCCTTGCCCTGGCCTGCTTCACCTGTCCCCCATAGGACTTATCACCTCCCACCACACGACCCAGCTTTCTCCTCCTACTAAAATATAAGCTCCGGAAGACAGGCACCTTTGTCTATTTTCATCACTGGTTTGTTACAAGTCCCTAGAACAGTGCCCAGCACATTGTAGATGCTGAGTAAATAAATGGTCGGTGAATTAATGCATGAGCCCGCCCTTGGGCACCCAGCACTGGTTAAGTGGTGAGGCTGGGAACTGAGCCCAGGCAGGCTGGCTCTGGAGTCCATGCTCAGAAGCGCTTAGTGTGCTGAGCCGGCACCCCTCCCAGTGGCCAGGCCATGGGGCAGAGTGTCCAGTTCCCCTGACTTGGTGGGCCCCTGGCACAAGCTGGTCCTGTGGGGGTCTCACACTGCCATGGAAGGTCTGACTCCCCCAGCCCTTTTCTGTGCGGAGGGAGTGGGGTCTTGTGCAGCTGGAACCTCCGTAATCTATCTGCAAACTGGATAAGGGCGTTCTCTTCCAGTGCAAACCTGATGAGGTCACTACCTTTTTGAAGGCCCTTCAATGGCTCCCTATTGCCTTCTAGATACCATCTAGGTCCACTGCAAGGTTTATAAGGCATCCCCCACCCCAAGCCCCTGCCTGCCTGGAGTCTCACCTCCTACCATTCCTCACCTTGAACTTCATAAACTAGCCACACTCGCCATTTCTCACCTCTGCTCACACTGCCTGGCTAGATCCTACTACTCAACCTTTAAAGCTTGCTCAGACTCCTCCAGAGCCTTCCTAGACTCGCCTCCCCAGCTTTCTGGGCTGGAGAGGGTTCTCATAATCCCTTGTGAGTGGCTTCATCACTGTATTTATCACACCACACAATGATTACCTGTTGTGTTTCTCATGAGAGCTTCACGAGGTCATCGAGTGGGTATCCAGCACATAGCAGATGCTTAGTGCACTTTAAATGAATGAACTACCTCTTTCACAAATTATACTGTTGGGCAGAATCTACTCTGCAGGGTGGGAAGGTTTATGAACAGGTTATGTGCACATGTGCGCACTGAATCCTGTTGGCAGAGGACCAGGCCAGAGTCCCCCATATGGACAGGAATCACTTAAAAATTCTGGGGTGAAGGTCAAGCACGACTGAGCTACAGGCAGCTGTCACTCATGTTGAAGTGATGCCTGATGGGGTTGGGGGAGCTGGCTGCCCAGCGTGGCCCTGCAGAGAATGCCTGTGTTGCAGAAACAATGGCTGGTATATCTGGGACCTCTGACCTCCCATTGCATCTTGCAGCCCCTGCCCCACCCCCAATGAAAAACCTGATATGCATCATTTTTTTCTGCTAAGTGTTCCGCTCTCACTCAGCAGATGGCCCACTCCTTGAGGAAAACGTCTGTTTCCAGAAATGGGGTGGCTGAAGCTGGATCCGCCCAGATGGCTCCATCCCTTGTTACGGCAGCTCTCGGCGAGCAGTGGTCGGAAGGGGTCGGCTTTGAGAACACAGGTATGTTTCAGTTTAGCCAACGACCTGTGCAAGGTCCTTCAGTTTGAGTCTTGGCATCAGATTCCCTGAAGGCTTATTAAAACCCAGCCTCCTGCCCCACCCAGAGGTTCAGGTCCAGTGGGCCTGGCATGGGGCTGAGACTGCACTTGTAACCGGAAACCCACTGAAGATGTTGCTGGTGCCTGCATCATGCCGGAAGGACCCTGGCTTTGGAGGGCCCTCCTAGGGAGAAGGGGGGCACTTACCTTCCTGTGCCTGGAGAGGGATCTGGGAGGCAGCCGATTTGGTGCTGCCCTTGCTTTTCCTGCTGCCCTGGCTGGCAAGAGATGGGTGTGCTTGCAACTTCCGGTGGGTCTTGGGGCCACCCAGGGCACCATTCCCCGCCTGCCTGGCGCCGCCCAGCTCTGAGGGGTGGCCAGAGCCATTCGCCAGTAGTGGGGTGCAGCCCAAGGGGTTCCCCTGAGGCTGGCCTGGAGAAATGACAAGAAAGGGCGATGGGGGCAAGGTGGGGGGCCACCCAGCTTCTCAGAGCTCTGCTCTAATCCTGCCTACTTCCTTCTTACAGGCTGCCGAGCCGGACTTGTATTCTGCAGATGGGGAAACTGAGGCCCAGGCAGCAGGACTGACTTGCCCAGAGGCACGCCATGAAACAGAAGCAGAGTGGAGCCTAGCTCCTGACTCCCGGGCCAGTGCTCATTCCAGAAAAGACAGAGGTGCAAGGCAAGGGGGAGGGCTCAGAGCCCCGCACCCCGTTTTCTTACTGCACATGGAATCTGTTCTCCTGCTCTTGGTGTCCTGGGATTTTGGCAAAAGTGGCAGTAGCTGGAGGTGAAGGAACAGGGGCAGTTTGGCTGGGGTGGGAAGGACAGCAGTGAAGCAGTTAACCTTCACCTCGGCCTCTGCCAAGCCCCCAGCTATTTTTGCCCTTCGTGTGCTGGGTGAGTTATTAGAAACATCTGTTTGGAGATGAACGCCTGGCCCTGGAATCCGGGGGCTCCTTACAGCAGCCCCTCTATCTGCAGCTCCTCCACACCCCTGCCCCATTGGCCTCTGTGCGGGTGTGGGGGGGGGGCTGGCAGAGGAGTTTGTTGAGGGGCCCTTAAAGTCTGGGTGAGGAGGGAGAGAAGAAGGAAAGACGGAGGCTCCTGAGGCCAGGAACCCCTGAGTTCCCATCCCAAGCTGAGGGACATCAGCTTTATCAGTGGGGTGCAAGGAAGCTGGCCCCGGAGATGTCCCAAAGCACCTAGTTCTTTCCTTCACCTCATTTAAGTTTGCTCGCCTGAAAGGCACAGTTCTGTTCTCAAGACATGAAGGCAGGTGTGTGTGTGTGTGTGTGTGTGTGTGTGTGTGTGTGTGTGTGTGTGTGTTGGGGGAGGGGGCTGAAAAGGGAACATGGAGAGCTCTGGGACCCCTCAGCTGCTCAGGGCAGGACCTGGGCACTTGTGGGCAGGATCCTTGGGCCCTGAGGACCTCTGCAATTATGGGGAACTTCCATCTCTCAGGCGCTGGGCTCTCCAACTGCCTCCAGGCCTGGCTTCTGTATCTGAACTATGGTAGGAAGAGATGGGGGCGGGGTAGGGAGGCTGGAGGCTGAGGAGAGGGGATGGAGGCCTCCTGCCACGCCTGAGGGGCCTGGATCTCCTAGCAATGGTACTAGTCACACCACTGAGCACGTACTGCATGTCAGCTGCTTGCATGCTAATTATTCTCTCTGAATCCTCTCAATATGTCCCTACAGGGCTGTGTCCTCCTTATACAGATGAGGAAACTGAGTCCCAGAAGGTATGGTAACTTGTCCAAGGTCACACTGCTAGTAGGTGTCTGAGATGGACCAACCTAGAGGCTAAAACCTGGGGCTAAGAGTACAGAGACGCAAGGAGGCGGGCAGAGGTTGGGAGACAAGGGACTGGGGAATAAGGTGCTACTATCACAATCATTATGCTTATAACTAATAGTTCATATGGTTACTATTGAGTGGTTACTTAGGTGCCAGGCACAGTGCAAAGAGCTTTATGTGTAGTAACTTCTTTAAGGATCATGATAGATTATCAGCCTCATTTCACAGATGAAGAAACTGAGGCCCAGAGAGGATACATCTTGCCCAAAGACTCCACAGCTAGGAAGTGGAGGGGGAGGGCATGGAGATTGGGAGAAAGGAGCAGCGGAGGACAAGGTGGGGAGTCAGGAGGAGGATGAAGACCAGGCGCTGGAGAGGCTCCATGCTGGGAGAGGTGTGGCTGGTGCCTGCATCTGGGTAAACAGGGTAAGGCCATGGGAAGTCGCCAGGCCTGAATCACCATGCCCCCACCTCCTGGCCCCACGGGGGTGACTAGGCTGAATCCTTGGCCAGCTTTGATGCCCCCTGCCCTGCTGCCTAAACATGGGCACAGTGACCAGAAGGCAGGCATGTGTGGTGAGCTGAGGGCCCTGGGGGGGGGGGAATGTGTGCAGACACAGAGCTCGCCTGTGGCCATAGCTGTGGGGTGGTCACAGGGACTGAGTCACAGAGCAAACACTCAGGGCCCATAGACACAGGAGCATCTGTCCAGCTCCCACTCAGGCCCCCTCCTCCATGGCCATGGAGCTGACCTCTTTCTCTCAATTCTGCTGGTGGGTGTGTCTGGAGGAGGCTGAGGGCAGTGCGCTAGCAGGATTTAGTAACCCTGACTTCCAGGGAGTCCAACTTTGCCCCAGATGCCCTGCCTGAAGGCAGCTCCCGCTCCGTGTGCCAACTAGGCAGGCAGGCAGAGGGAAGAGCACTGGGCCTGGAGACCTAGGTCCCCCAGCTTGTATCCAGGGTGAGTGGTCCTCTGCACCTCAGTTTCCTTGTCTGTAAAATGGGCTTGGTGGTGACTAGCCTGCTGCCTCGCTGCAGGCTGATGTGGAGAGCACGTGGGATCATGCAGGGAAAGAAAGTTGGAAGGTGCAAATGTGTCTACAGATTTGGTAATTAATAATTACAAAATGATTCTGGCTGCCTCATCTCCTACTTTTGAGGGTGTGGGTAGAGCAGTCTCTTCCTCCCAGGACCTCCTTGGAGACCTAGAGCCAAGCTGGGAAGGGAGCTAAATTTTGTTCCTTTCTCTGCCCAAACTGGAGGCTTCTCTCCTTCCTTTTGCCCTCGATACCCTGAAGCATGGTGCTATGCCAGGCTCTAGCTGCCTGCTTTGGGTCCCCCGCTCTCTTCCTGAGGTGAGGGTGCCTCTTTCCATACAGCCTCATGCTCTCTTGTCTTAAACCATGTTGCCATGCGCATGCTCATTTTGAACTAATTTTATACTAGTCATTCTGTGGAGATCTTCTTCCTTAAGACAGAAAGAACAGTGACAGTGTCATACACCTTTCCACTGCCCACACTTCAGGGTCCTAGCCTTGTGCTAGGCTCCCACGGGCATCTACTGCTTTTTGCCAGCCCACCCGGATTGGATTCCCTAATACAACCCCTATGTGTTGCCACCCCGATCCCCTGGCCCCGCTAGGACTCACATGTCACAGCTTCTGTGGGGACATCGAGGTCAGTGCTGTCCAGGGCCTGGGGTGCCCCAGAGCCATTGCCTTGGGGCATGGGGGTTGCCGCCTCCTCCAGGGAGCCCTCCTCCACTGCTGCCTCCACAGGGCGAGTGGATGCTGTCCCTACCTCCAGCCCAGGCAGGAGGGATGGGGTCTGGGCTGGGGAAAAAGCAGACGACCGAGGTGTATTTTCCTGGTGCTCAGCCCTGGTCCCCTTTTCCCAGCCCGGAATGCTGTGAGCCCTCATTCTTGGTCTCTTTGTACCAGTTACCCAGCCTTTACCCTATTTGGCGCCAGTTCCAGGCTCCAAAATAGAAAGCTCCCAAACCACAATGTGTGAGTGAGCAAGGGTGTGAGTGTGTGCATGTGTGTGTGTGTCTGTGCATGTGTGTGCATGCCCGTGTGTGTGCGGTGTCAGGGAAGTGGGGAGACGAGGCCAAAACACAGTGCAGGAGAGAACAGACAGGTGGTCAGCGATGGAGAGATAGGGACAGGCATCAAGAGTGACAGGGAGAGGGAAAGCATCCAAGGGACAGCAAAAGGGACAGGGAAGCAAAGAGAGATAGCGCATCAGAAGGCAGGGAGATTGGGCACGCAAGGAGAGAGTCCCCGAAACCCGGTGACAGACAGCCTAGGACAGGAGGGAAGCTCAACCATAGAGTGAAAGTCAGCGATGAAGAGGGAGATAAAGACAGGGTCGGAGGCAGAGGCGAAAGAGAAGGGAACGCGACACAGACAGAACGAGAGGGAGACAGACAGTGAGAAATTGGGTCAGAGAGAGAGGATGACAGCAAGAGAAAGAGACAGAGAAAACCTGGTGTGACGAGAAGGATGGGCCTGAGGTGGAGGGGCTGCAGGCAGGAAGAGGGACAGGGAGACGGCCAGAGAGGACTGGGAAGAGGTGGACCGCAGCCACATGTAATTACAGTGACGGGCTCAGCCTTCTGTGCACAGTGGGCGGAAGGAAGGAATGGAGCCACCTTCAAACCCACAGCTCCTGAGGCAGCAGGACTCGGCCCCCTGGGCCCAAAGGGAAGAAGGTTAGGGGGATGGGAGGTGGAGAACAGAGGCAGAGAGGGGCCCCGGTTCCCACATCCTCAGTCACCAGGGTATGGGAAGGCTGAGGTGTGGTAGGGAGGAGGGTGAAGGCAGGGGCCATGGGGTCAGGGGTCAGGCTGGGCAATTATGGGGTGCAGGGTGCAACCTGAGCCTCTCCTCAGACCCCAGGTTGTGCACTTGGAAATGACAGAGGCCTCAAGAGGGTGCCCCCCCCACATGCCATATTGGGAGCAGGGGACACAGAAATAGGAGACTCAGAGGGACACAGAGACCAAATGGGCACAGGCAAAGGAGAGCAACATAGAGAGACAGAGAAAGATGAGGAGAAAGGGTGGTGAAACCGAGAGTGAAAGATCTGCAGCCAGGCGAACACACCACACAGAGACCAAGAGAGAGACACACCCTGAGGGACCGAGGGATAGAGAGACACAGACTGGGAAATAGAAATGAATCAACCACGGAGAACAGAGGAGCTTATGTGTGGAGTCCTTCTCTGAGCCGTCTCCAAGTGTTGGGGTGGGGGTGGGGGGTGGGAGCAGGGAGGAGGGAGGTACTTAGAGGGATTGATTAAGTCTGGATCTGGAGGATGGGGACATCCTGAGGGGAGGGGACAATTCAGGCGCTCAGCTGCCTCCCTGGGTCCTGAGCAACCCTCTGTGGCTTCTGACTTGCAGAGACCCCTGAGAAATCCTGTTCCAAAGACCCTGGCCTCCCATTGCCCGGGGGATAGAGGCCCCAGAGGCCCCAAGTGGGCAGCACAGAGCGCCGCAGGCCCAAGCAGGCGGCTCAGACCTGCCGAGGGCAAACCACAGGCTCTGCCGGAGACGGGAGCTGAGGCCAGGAGGCAGGAGGGGCCGGAGATACCAGAGTTAAGGGTTGGGAAGCCCTCACAGTGCCCACTGCTGCTCCAGGGAGGCAGGGGTGGGTTCCTCCAGCCCCATCCAAACTTTGGGCCTGTTGAGAGCCCCTGTTACCACCTAGGCTAAGGAAAGAAGTCAAATATCTTTTGGAAGATCACAGGTTTGGACAAGGAAGAGCAGGCGAGTGGAGATGACACCCAGGGAGGAGAAATGTATCCTGCTAGGTGGCACCTCTCCAACCCTGAGCCTGGTCTGCAGCAGCTCAGACCAGGTTGTTCATGAAGGGGGAGGCTCAGGGTTGGGTCCTAATTCCCTGGAAGGGAAGGGCCCTGCCCAGCTCCAGCCTCTGGCCCAGAGGCATCTTGCCATGGACCTGAACCAGGAGCACTGACTTTCCCATGTGGTAAAATGAAAAAGGCCTGAGCAAGGAGCTGTAAGATCCAAACCTTGGTTTTTCCCAGTTACCAGCTTGGGCAAGTTCCCAGGACTTGGGTTACCTCGTGTGTGTAAAGGGGTGGTCCTAACGCTTATCCCTCAGGGTGTCAGAGTCAGTGAAATGCTCAGCAGTGTTCTGGCCTGCAGGGGCCATTCATGTACCTGTACCCTTGCACCCAGCCACCCAGCTACCTGCCCTCCTTCCGCTCCCTCCCATCCTGCCTTCCTCACTCCCTCCTTCCCTCCTGTGCTGTTTGGTTTCACATTTATTAAGTAGCTACAATGCATTAGCAATATATTAAGAAAACTGGGCAGACCAAATGAGAAAGGACACTGCCTCAGGAGTTCTGTGTCAAGGTGGGGTAGGGAACAGTCACACACACTGGAGGGCAGAGTGACAGTAGGGACATCTGCAAGAACTGTGGAAGCACAAAAGATGGGCACTTATCCCGTGTGCGTGTGCGTGTGTGTGTGTGTGTGTGTGGTGAGGGGGTGAGGGGGGTCGGGGGACAGGGCTAGGAGGCTTCCTGGAGAAGGCAATGCCTACACTAGGTCTTGAATAATCAGTCAGCAAAGAAGGGGAAAGGTCATTTCAAGAAGGGCATCAGGAACCAAGATCCCAGGGTAAACAGCTGCAGTGTGAACAAGGGAAATGATGGCCGTGTGGTGCTGTTGAGGTCGGTGCACCTACAACGATAGCTGGGGCCTGGTGCACCTGTGGTCCCTTCCTAGGCTTTCTTCTGAGGTCATGGGGGTACACAGGGGTGACCCTGTCAGTCTTGCAGTAGAATGAGCCAGATTGTAGCTCTCTGGGCCCCCAGGATTGGAAAGAGAGGAAGGCAAGAAAGAGGGTTAGGGAGACTGGTCCCCATCTCCACCCTCTTCTCCCATTGTCACCACTTTCTGGGCACCTCTCCTAATAGTCACCTTGAGGACTGACAACCTTGAATCTCTTGGGAACAGGAGATTATAGACAGCACAGACTAACTCCTGCAGGAAACCTGCCATTCTAGGGTGAGCATCAGACCTTGGAACGAAACCCGGAAAGAGAATCCAGACCAATCATCTTGACCTGGAAATACAGAGGGAGAGTTCTCCTGGGGTCAGCAGGGGCAGCAGAGGGGACCCAGCAGTCTCCTGAAAGAGCGACGCCGAGGGCAGGAGAGGAAAGTGTGCTGAGTGCCCAGAGACCTGGAGACAGAATGAGAAGGAATAAGAAGTGGCAGAAAGACCTGATCTGCGAATGAGACGCTGCCCAGAGGGCCCCGGTGCCAAGATGCTGGACCAAGAAAGAGCTCGTGCCAGGAGCACATGGAGCAAAAAAGCCAGACAAGAGGCAGAGCCTAAGTAAGTGCTCAACCGTCAGGAGACCAGAAGAGCCCAGTTTTCCTCTTGTGACCATGAGACCCTGCTGTTCAGGGGAGAATGTCTCTGAGGAAAAACGCCCAAAGGGTGTCTAAGAGGGTAGAAATGTGGAGTAGGATGGAGGGAAAGGCGGCCAGCAGAGGCCAAGGTCAGCTATGTGGCTGTGCAATTTGTGTTCCGCATAAAGGCGCCTGCCAAGGGGGGCATGGTTGGGGCTGGAGACCCTGGATTGGCCCCGTCCTCCTGGGGATGCCATCTGCTCAGTCAGCTGCATACCTGCTCCATCTGACCAGAGGGTCATCTTTTTCTAATGTGCACAGGGTCCATAATACTGGTGGTGTCTCTGAGCAGAAACCCCAGCCCTGAACCTCTCTCAAGGGTCCCTCCCCATCTACAAGGGGGAAACACAGAAAGGCAACAGCCCCTTTGCCTCAACATACTGTCATCCCTAGCACAAGATAAGGTTCTGAGTTCAATGCCCTGAGTTCTGGAAAGAGCCCCAGGAGGGAGTGGAAAATCATGTTTATATCCAGCAGCTCAGAAGGGAAGGCTGAGAGACTCACAACCTCAGCAGGGACCCTATGGGCTTCCTCTGCCTGCTATCCACCAAGTTGGGAACCAAGAAGGAGTGGGGGACCACTTCCAGATGGGATGGGTTCACTCCAAGCCTGGAAGTGCCTACAGGGCCCTTATTCCAGAGCTCCAATGCCTGGTCCCTTATGCCCAGCAGTCTCTACTGACTTTGTGGACAGTGGATCTAGGCTTTGTCCTTGGAGCTCTGACCATCTCTGGAGAGAGAGGGCAAGGATCTGACCTGCTCAGAGAGTGGTGACTGGAACCCCACACTCCAATTTTCCTTAGCCTGATTTTCAAGGCCTCAGTCAACATCTTCAACCTAATCAACAGACAAGAATCCTGCGTTCCAGGCAGACTGACCTCTCCATGGCCCCAGGCTATCACCGTGCCTTCGGACAAATCCACCGATGCTTAGATTGTTCCTTTTGACCACAAGGTCCTACCGTTCTCTTCTCCCGCTCCCCAAATCCAACCCATCCTTCATGACTCAACTCAAGCTTCACCTCTTCCTCTAGACAGCCTTCCCTGAGCCCTGAGGCAACAGTCCTGAGTGGCCCACTTACTAAGAACTTAGTCCTCAGCATCCCCTATCAATGAGAACTTGGTAGTGGAGTCTTGGCTCCTCGACCAGACTGAAGCCTCCTCAGCACTCTCCCTTGGGGCCGTGTCAGCGTTCATCTCTGCACCACAGTGGGTACTCGGCAAATTTCTGTCCATGAGGACTGAGCTCTGGAGTTTGGAATGCCCCGGGTCAGGGAAGGAGAGACACCAAGAGAGGATTAGGGGTGGCACCTGGCTCTGAACCCCAAGGAGGCGAGAATGTGGACTCGCTTGCTACTCGTGACATATTGGTCACAGTCCCAGGCTGCCACCAGGCCAAGGACTGGAGAGGGCCTGAGCTGGCCAGTTAGGCTGTGTCGGGTTGGTGTTATTTTAGGTCTGAAGGCTCCAATTCCCCAGGAAATTCAATTTAGAACCAAGCGCAGGAATGTGACGCCCCAGTGCTGGGCAGAAATCTGCTGTGGGTTAGGAAGCCAGGCTTTGGGTCTCTCGGGGGTGGGCGGTGAGAGGCCACTGGGGGCGCCAAGGGTGTGGGGGCTTGGCCACCTGCCCCAGCCAGAGCGGCCCTTCACCTCATCTTCATCTTAGGCGCTGAGGGAGGAGCTGTTCCCTGGCTGTCCTGCCAGCAGGGCCCCTGGGGGCAGCACTGTGGCCTTGCTGTTCTGTCGGTGCTCAGCAGGGAGCGTGGGGGATTCTGGTCTCAGATTCAGGCGTCTGTGGGGTTTTGGCTGGGTCTCCTGCGGTTTGGGCTTCCTGGGCAGCAGCCTCATTCTCCCAAGGCGGCAGAGCCAGGCCTCCTCATGTTATGAAAGCCACATTGTCTAGCCCAGCCCAGGCTGGGGAGGGGGCTCGCTGGGCGCTGGGGGGCCTCAAGTTACAGCCTAGGGCTTGACCCTCCCAGTGGCCCACCAGGCCCTTGTCCCTTGCACATTTAGCTCAATCCTCTCCCTGTGAGGCTAAGAATGGGTCGCACAGGGGAGAGGATCTTGCAAAGGGGTAGTGGAGCAGAGAGCAGAGAAAACAGATAAGCAGAGGAAGAAAGCAGGGAAGTGGCAGGAAGGGAGGGAAGCGGGAAGCTGAGAGAGGAGGAGTGAGGCGGGGAGAGAGGCTGAGAAGGAGAGAGAAGGTTCCCAGACACAGAGAAGGAGCCTTCCCAGCCCCCTACCTCTAGCTCCCTCCAGGCTGAAGGACCCTAGTTCTTGGAGGAGCTTGCTCTCAGAGGGCCCTGCTCCAGGGGCCCACAGAGAGGAGAGAATCTCAGGGTTAGCAGGGGTGTGCAGCAGATTCCTTAGTGTCATCCATTTACTGGCCCCTGGCCAGACACCTCCCACTTCTCCTCACTCTGCTCTAGGCGACCCCCCACCTCCACAGCTCCAGGCATCCGGAGTGCCAGTGTCAGCGTCCTCACCAGGTAGACCAGGGGAGCTGAGACAGGCCTCTCCAAACAGGCAGACAAACCCCTAAGGGCGGATGTGGAGACTGAGGCCAAAGAGGGGAAGGAACTTGTCCAAGGCCACGCAGGGAGTTAGTGTCAGAGGTCCAGGACCAGACCTTTATTACTCAGATACTCAAAGAGGGGAGAAAGACAGAGTGGGGGGCGGGTGAACAGACAGCAAAAGAATCAGACTCACCTAGAGCTGGGATTCAAGTCATGAAACCTGGGCCTATACTCCTGCATCCCACCCTCCGAAAAAAAATCCCAGAAGTTCCGGATTTCTCCCAGACTCTGTGTTCCATTGTGAGCCTCGCTCACATCTGCACAGTGAGAAGGACTGAGAGCCTTCTACCATAGGGCTCTCACCCTCAGGGAGTCACAAGCCCTCCCAGGGTAGGAAGGCTCCTTCAAGAATCCTGGGGAGGTTACAACCCCTGTAAATTGGGGGAAGGGGCAAAGTATGGTGTGTATGGGGTGTGTGTGTGTGTGTGTGTGTGTGTGTGTGTGTGTGTGCGCGCGCACGCGCTCACGCGCGGGCGTTAGCAGGGTAGGAGCGGTGGGGACTGGCCAGGCCCCAGTGGGGAGGAAGGCGAGCGAGAGGAGATGGCAACGAGGCGAGGGGCCTCGTAGTATGGCCGCTTTTTGCGGACAAAAGTTTTCGGGAATCGCTGGGCTCTGGCTGGGTTGGGGGAAGGGAAGGAGAGAAAGGCTCATACCCCCAACCCTACTTGAGGCCCCCCAAAATATTTACACACTGAGCAGAAACAGTTGAGACACAAATCCCTGACAGACAGACACTGCGGTGTGTGTGTGTGTGTGTGTGTGTGTGTGTGTGTGTGTGTGTGTGTGTCTGGTGTTGGGAGTGGGGGGATTTGGAGCCAACTTGGCACAGCCGCCGCCTGCGTTCCGGCCCTGCCCCCATCATCCCAGCCTTACGTTTTCCTTGGACCCGGTCCGCGATAGCCAGACCCCCTCACCCCACCTCCAGTCAAGCTCCCCGAAACCATCTCCTCTAGTCTTAGGGAGAGGGGGGAGAATGAACACACCCCACCACCAAGTCGCCTACCCCGTTTGCGTCTGAGCCTCGCTGTCCACCCCCCCTCAAACCCCCCCCCTCCGGCGTCTTACCTGGGCCCGGGGCTGCGCTGGGGGCTTCATGGGGTGCGTCGCAGTGAGGGGGGCGCTGGCCACTCACCTGGGACATCGGCCCGGGACCTGCGGAAAACAAGGCTCAGTGGGCGGGGCCGACCTCCCCTCCGCGCGTGCTGGGAAAGGGGCACTGGCGAGGGGTGATCCAGCCGCAGGCGCGCGCCTCCCCCCCCCCCCAGTTCCAGCGCGGCCACTGACTAACTTACTGGTGCAAACCGTGCGCTCCTTTCTGCCCCACCAGGATCACCGCGCAGGGCCTGCCATGCGCGCCTGCCCAGGGCGCCCCCGCCGAGGGGCCACGCGGCTCCCTGGTGCCCGCCCAGCACCCCCTCCCCTCTCACTCGCGCCGTTCTCCCATTTCGGCGCCAGCTCGAGCCGCGCGCCCCCTTCCTTCTTCCTTTTCTCCCTCCAGCCCCCTCGCTCCTCCCCTGCTCGCCGCTCCCTTCCCTTCTTTCCCTGGCCCACCCTCTCTCCGCCCCCTCCTCGTCTTCCTCGTCGCACCCCCACCACGTCCCTTCCCCCGCGCCCGGCTCGGCGCTGCCTGGGCCGGACACGTCTGTCCGCGGGGCGCCGCGGCCCAAGCCCCCACAGGAAGCTGGCTCGGCGCGTTTCCTCTGCGCTCGCAGAGCTGGGCTCCAGTCTCCCCAAATCCCTGCCCCCCCAGTCCCAGCGTCCCGAGGGGCTGCAGAGGGGGCTGCGCGTTCTCCTTCGCCTGTCCTAAACTCTGCAAAAGTTTTCGGAAAGTCAGGAGAACGAGAGAGAGAGAGAGAAACTACTGTGAACACAACCACCTCTGGCCAATTGTCAAAGTAATTGTGGCCCCCGAATCTTGTTGTCCCAAAGATAGGAGCGATCAAGTTCCTCAAGCTCCCCTTTGCCCACACCCTCCGTCCCCGCCCCAGGTCCTGCGCCGGGTGCCGGGGGTCTGGGGCTCACAAACTTCGTGCCCACCCCGTCAGAGGTTGTCTCTCCGGGAAATCCGGTTATGATGAGCTGACCCCCCGAGTCCTCTAACAGCTCTGAGCATCCCTAATCCCCCCCACCCCTGCCAGCTGTGCGTGGGAATTTGGTTCAGAAAACCAACTTTGGAAGCGAAGAGAGCTTCTCCGAGTTCAACCCTTCTTTTGGCTCCAGAATGGAATCCGAGGCCTTCCAAATTGCGGGTGCGCGGGGGGGAAAGGAGAGAGAAGGGGCCCTTCCAGGCGGAGACAGCTGGGCGGCACATCTGGAATTGCGAGCTGGGTCCCTCCTCAGGGCCCTAGGAAGACGCCCCTGCTAGACAGCCCAAGAAGGTTCAAGGACCCACATCATGACCCCGGGACCAGGTCCCCGAAAATGGGGGAGGGCACGGAGCCTGCGGCCCGCCGGGTGGGGCTGGGCGGACCGGTGGGATGATCCTCCCATGGGGCCGCCCGCTGGGGTGACAGCGTCTTGGCCACACTTGACCGGGCCGCCTCGGAGCCGCGTCTGGGCTCCCCACCACGAGGGCCAGTGAGCAATTAGGGAGGCGGCGGCGGCGGCGGCGCCAGGCCAGTTCTCCCCGTCCCGCGGAAGCGGGGGCCTGGGACGCAGGGGTCTGAGTGAGGGACTCTCCCAACCCCCGCGGGCGTTACTTACCACGCTCGAAGATCCTCGCAGCGCCGTGGTGGCCAGGGCCGCCGTGGTCCCACGGCGTCCTCCACGTTCTCGCCACCCGCGCCCGCGTCCCCCACGATGAGCCCAGGTGGCTGCGGCCGGAAGAGGGGGCCCCGGGTCAGGAGGAGGGGGTCCTGCTCCCGGGGCCGGGCTGCCTGCTGCGGGGGCCTGGCCTGGCGCCTCCCGGAGCCAGCCCGGAGCAGGCTGCAGTGTGGGAGCTCTGGAGAACGGGGTGGACTCCCCCTTCCTGGCAAGGGCTGAGTCACCGGGACGCGCCCGCGCCGGGGCCTGGCGACTGCTTCATTCTTACCGGCTTACCTGGGCTCGCGGGCTGGGCCTCACCCACCTCTAAGGGTAGGGTAGGAGGTAAGGGGGGTAGGCATTGTCTCTGTGTGTCCTCTCCTGCATATAGGGCGTCCTCCCCAACCACAGACCTTAGCGCTACACCCCGTCCCTTCTCAATCTCTATCCAGGGCCCCCAAACTCTGAGTCAGCCTCGTTCCCCAGCCTTAGAGTCCAGAGTCGCCTGCTTGAGCTCAGAAGTCCTCTGAATCTGGCCCAGTACTAATGTGTCTAGTTTGCTGGAAATGTAAAATATGCTTTAAATGTAATCCCACATGCTGGTTATACAAACGTGCTCAGTTTGTGAAAATTCAACAAGCTGAACATTTCAGCTACATGCACTTTTTTGTGTATTACACTTGATTAAAAGTTTTTAAAAAGCAACACTCATTAAAATCAACCTTCCACAACAGAGCACAGTAAGGGGTGATGGCCAGGTGATGGGCCTTGGAATGGGTCTCCAGTTCAGACCCCAGCTTCACCATCCACAGTTTTCCTCCAGGAAGTCCCATCACCAATCTAAGCCCCAAGAGGGGTGAACACTGGGGTCCTTATTGGGGAACCCAATCATTTCATTGTTATCCAGGACCAGGACTAGGTTGAGGTAAGTGGGGCACTTGCCTAAGGTGCAGAATTTAGAAGGGTGACAAGATAAATAATATTGTAATCCAATGATTTTTTTTTTTTTAAGATTTTTATTGGGGAATTGGGGGAAGGGGAACAGACAAGTTGCTGTTGTTTTGCTCTTCAGTCTAGTTGTGGAGGATGTTGCTTCACTGGCCCAAGTTGGCACCATCATTGCGCTCTTCCCCAGGTGAGGCAGATCAGTCGCCTGCTTCTGGACGGCCGCTCACTGCGGCTGCTGGCCGCTCACGCTGGCTGCTGGCTACACACGGTAGCCCATGGCAACCCACTGCCACAGGGGCTGCAGCCTACACTGTTGCTGGTGACTCAAGGCAACCCAGCTCCAGGTTGAGCTGTTGTTCAGCATCTTAGTTGTAGAGGGCAGTGTCACTGGCCCTCATATGTGGGATCCAAACCAGGGCCCTCTGGCGTCCCAAGCCAGCTCTTAACCATCGCGCCACTCGGCCGGCCCAATGTAATCCAATAATTTTTTAAAAATAAAATTACAGCTCTGCCTGTCAGGTGCCTATTTTTATAAATAAAGTTTTATTGGAACCAGGGCTGGGGTTAGAGAGAAAGGAGAGGGAGGATCGTGTTAAGTTTAGGGTTAGATCCTGTCTTTATTTAAAATGTGGGCTTTTTGTTCATCATGGGTTTTTTTTTTGTATTAATTTTGATTTTTAGATATATTGCAAGAAATTATTGTTTATCTTAATTACTGATGTTTTTGGTGCCCCTTTAAGTTTTGGATGTGAGCCAAGTGCCTCACTCTAACCCTTATACACTTCACCTTAGTCCCTGGCCTATTACTGTTTCTTCCTGAAAGACCTGTCTAGGATCCCAGGGTAAATGAACAGAGGTGGAAGTTGCCCTCCATCACACACACACAACACTAGGTAGACTCTGTACCCAACCCTGGGCTAGATTTCCTGGGGCCTACTGATTAGTTCAGAGTAAAATGCAAAGTCCTTACGATGACCTTCAAGCTTCACGAGCGGGGCTCTACCTGCCTTGGCTTTCAACTCCCTCACTCATTCGCTTCTAGCCCTGCTGCTTCCTGAGTTTTTTTGTTTTGTTTTGTTTTGTTTTGTTTTTAATTTGCCTCATGTGCTTGCCTCAGGGCCTTTGTACTTGCCCTTCCCTCTGCCCAGAATGTGCTTCCCCTAGATAGTCGCATGGCCCCCTTCCTCATTTCCTTATTTCCTCTGTTTATGTCACCTTCTCAGAGAGGCCATCCCAGACCCCTCACTCTTTGTCTCGGCTTGATTGCTTTTCATAGACCTTTTCACCACTTTTCCTCTTATATATTTGCTTGTTTCTGGGTAGAATGAAAGCTCCAGGAAAGAGGGGACTTTGTCTTGCCTGCTAGTGTCGTCCCTAGAATTGTATCTGTCACAGAGAGCTCAATAAATAGTTCCAGTTTCGCACATGGGAAATAAGAGGCCAGAGAGGGGAAGGGACTACTGCAAGTCATGTAATGAATTAATGGCAGGAGTGACTTAATGGCAACATCGTACTAAATCTCAGGTTTCCAGACTGTCAACCCAGTGCTCTTTCCTGCCTCCCAGTCTCATCCTCACCCTCCATCCCCAGAGCCCTCCAGGCAACCAAGGGTGACAGCGACTGCACAGCTCTCTTATACAGTCCTTTCCACACAATGCACTCCCCAGGCCTGGCCATGCTCCAGCCCCTGGCGTCCACCCAGCCCCAGCGTCCAGCAGGCATGCACAGCTTTTCCCGGCTGGCTTCCTGTCTCTGGCACAGGGCCAGTCGGCGGGCTGGACTGGGTTCCACAGCTGGACCACAGCTGTGGTCTCCGCCTTGCCCTGGAGAATGGCGGACAGCACACTGTGACACAACTGCCCCGCAGAGGGCAGTGTAGAAGGGGGTGTGTTTGTGTGTAGTGGGGGGAAGCTGCTGGGTAGGGACTGAGAACTTTTAGCTCCCCTCACCGACTCCTTCCCTGAAGAGCACTGAGTGGGGAACGGAGCTTTAATTCCCTCCCCCTTCCTTAAGAAAATGGCATGCAATGGGGTGAGGAGAGCTCTGAGCCCCTAGCCTGATTCTATCCTTTTTAACCCCTGGTGATGGGAGATAACAGTGGCGTGTCACATTCAGTAAACATGATTTGGGTATGCTCTATATACCAGCCCCTTGCTAGATGTTTCTAGATTTGTTGCTTCCTTTAATGCCCACATAATCCAGATATAGATGAGGAAACTGAGGCACTTGCCCATGGCTATACAACTAGTAGTGGGTGGTCCTGCGACTTACACCCCATTTTCTGAGGCCAAATGCAGTGCTCATTCCAACACCCTATACAGCCTTTAGCCTTATAGAGAATTGTGATATTCCCGGCTGCTGAAGATGGAGACATGGCCCCACACACCCCTCCTCTGTCTCATTGGTATTTGGAGCACCAGGAACTTGGCAGAGGGTAGTAGGAAGAGTGGGGCTTCATTTGGGGTCATGGAGGCCCAGCTTGGCTCCTGGCTCAGTCACTTCTACCTAGCTATATGATTTCAAGCAAATTATTTGAAAACTCTGAGCTTCCGGTTCTTCTGTGTAAACCTGGGAGGATAGTTCCTACCTCTCAATTGAGGGGAGAACTGAGTGACCACCTGGTACAACAGTGTCTTCTCAGTAAATGTTCACTTTTGCCCAGTGTTTCTCTCCACCATGCTCACACAGCAGCAAGTGAGCGTCAGAGAGCATGTCTATTAGTGTGAATCTTTTTTTTTTAATTAAAGTTTATTGGGGTGACAATGGGTAGTAAAGTTACATAGGTTTCAGGTGTACAATTCTATAATACATCCTCTATATATTACATCGTGTGTTCACCACCCAGAGTCAGTGAATCTTATGTACAAACCCTTGGACGCCGCTTAGTCTGCGGTAGGCACAGTCCACAGCACTTTACACAAATTAACCAGTTTAATATTCACAATATTAAATATCAATTAATATAAATACCCATATTTTACAGAGGTGGAAACCAAAGTACAGAGAGGTCAAGCTACTTGCTGATGCCCACAGCCCTCCAAGGCGGGAGGGAGGTGGCTCAAATTCTCACTGATCCTCCACTCTCAGAGAGGACCTCTTCCCCTTCATCCTCGTGGTAAGTTAATGAAATCTGGGCTATTAATCACACAGAAATGTCTTCATGCTGGAGCCTCCAAACTTTTTTTTTTAAGTAATTCAACTTTATAGCAATTATAAATAAATTTTCTGGTCAGTGCCAGCATTTGGATTTTTTAAAAATAGACTTTTTTTTTTTAGCACAGTTTTAAATTCATAGCAAAATTCAGTGGAAAGTACAAAGATTTCTCATATGACCCTCGCACAAACACACAGCCTCCCCACTATCACCATCCTGCACCACAGCGCCATATTTTTTGCAATCGATGAATTTACATGGTCACATCATAATCACCCAAAGTCCATAGTTTACACTAGGGTTACTCTTGGTAGTGTAGTCTGTGGGGTTTTTGTTTGTTTGTTTTAAAGATTTTATTGAGGAATTGGGAAAGGGGGACATTGTGTTGTTCCAGGACCCATCAGCTCCAAGTCAAATTGTTGTCCTTCAATCTTAGTTGTGGAGGGCGCAAGCTCAGCTCCAAGTCCAGTTGCCGCTTTCAATCTAGTTGCAGCAGGGGACAGCCCACCATCGCATGTGGGAGTTAAACCGGTAACCTTGTTGTTAGGAGCACGCGCTCTCACCAGCTGAGCCATTCGGCCGCCCATTGGCAGCTCAGCTCAGGAGCAGCTTACTGGCCCGTATGGGAATCGAACCAACAACCCTGTTGCTCAGAGCTTGCGCTCTAACCAACTGAGCCACCCGGCCTGCCCCTATTCTGTGGGTTTTCACAAATGTATAATAACACATATCCACCATTATAGTGTCATACAGAATAGTTTCACTGCCGTAAATATCCTCTGTGCTTCACCTATTCATCCCTCTCTGCTAAGTGCTGGCAACCACTGATCTTTTTACTCTCTCCATAGTTTTGTCTTTTCCAGAATGTCATACAGTTGGAATCATATACTGTGTAGAATTTTCAGGTTGGCTTCTTTCACGTAGTAATATGTATCTAATGTTCTTTCATGTCTTTTAATGGCTTGATGGCTCATTTGTTTTTAGCGTTGAATAACATTCCATTGTCTGGATGTACAAAAGTTTATTTATCCATTTTCCTACTAAAGACATCTTCGTTGCTTCCAAGTTTTGGCAATTAT